AAGGATGCACTACTGTGTTTAACCCAGACATGGTTAGACAAGACCATCAATCTTCTGCTTCTTCCCCTCCTCAATTTATTCCTTCTGATGCCCACTTCTCATGTAAATTATCTAATGAAGATGATCATTCTGGAAATCCACAACAAACCTCATCTGAGACGTTAATTACAGAAACTCAATTTGAAATTATCTCTAATGAATCACTATTGGATTTTACAAACTCTATAAAAAAACAGTCTTTACATTTGACACCAACTAAACGACTATCTTCATTTTCTATTGAAAATGAACCTATTCATATTAGAACCAGTGTAACACATTTACGACCACCGAATCAATTTGGTCAAGGTAATCCATTTCTCCTGTTTCTCAGTTTATCATTAATCTTAGAATATAAAGAGATAATTATGCTAGAAATTAAAGAACCTGGGGATATTATACAATTCTATCAACAAAAATCTGGTAAACATAATTCTTCTAGAATATTATATCGTGCGAAAAAGTTATTTAATAAATACTTAGAAGAAAATAATTTTCAATTTTTTAGTTAAACTTTATATACTAATAACTGTACAGTCGTAGAAAAAAATCCAGCTAATACAAACTCACTCAACCATACATGACATAACTGTATTCTCATTTTGTATCATTATTTTGTTTTCTCTTAATTATTTGTTTGTTTTTTTAATATTAACTTTGTATTGTTATTATTACTACTTTTGTTAATTAACCAAAATTACTTCGAAACAGATCTTACAGTACAACAACAACAACCTATTTACACTGTGATAATCAACATATCTATTTCTCTTTCAGATTTTGAAATAAAAGTATTTTCGTATTTTTGTTGTGTATTATCTTTCTTTCCGTATTGAAAATTGGTGTTAACAAAAATGTGTATTTAAATGATGATGTTAATGAAATTTCGAAATACTGATAATATTGCAAAAAGATTTTTGAGGAAATATTTCTATGCAGAAAATTAAAACTTCAGTTGGCCATTTACCGGTTGGAATATATTTCAAGGAATGTAGCTATGATCGTGCACTTGTGTGTGTATCAGTGTTACTTGTCCTAGTGTAATCCGTTTGTAAAAAATAACACCTGTTTGTTGGTTATGTCACATCAATACCCGATCTAGTTTACCATAGTCGAGTGTTTATTAATTACTTCATAATATAATTTAAATCATGAACCAATCAATGTTAGACCACCATTGAAAACCTGGGAGCACTGTATGGTCGTTTCGTCCTAGTAAGGGACTCCTCAACAGGAAGATGGTCGTGCAATATCGTGGGTTAGTTGATGTTACACATTAACACCGCTGGATGTCGACTTAGTGGACTAGAAGCTAAGCGTTCGTGCGTGGGACTGGAGATCCTGGGTTCGAGTCCCGATTGCATGATCGTGGATACACATTTTCGACGTATCCCACACTAGGACGAGACGGTTGTCCAGTGCTTCCAGGTTTTCAGTAGTGGTAAAATTCAACAATGTCCACAACACTATACTTCATAAGTGTGATATAAGTTGTTCACTGATTATGGTAGTTAACTAACCGTATCGAAATCCACAAAAAGTAACTAAATATACAGGGAGATTGTTCAACTCAAATGTACATTAAACTAATTGAATCTCCTACAAAAAAAAATATACAGCTAAAAACGGATGGGTGATAAATTTAATTGATGAGTAGAGCAGTCATTTTGGCGTATATATACGTAGTAAATATGAACAGATAAGTATGCGTAAATCAGAGAATAAGTTTAACACTGGGCCGTCAGAATGTAGCGTTTAAAACGGTAGAATTTGTATTCCTAAAGCTGTATGTTTTATCAAAATGCACAGTATAAGATAGATTTACCCAGTTCACTAAAACACTACGTGTTATCATTTGAAGAGTAAATCAGTACTCACATATAACTCCTCATGTAATTCGGTTCCGGACCACAATGCAATAATGATACAATCACTAGAACTTTGCCACTCATTTCAATACTTCAAGTACAAACAGCGTACGGTTTAACCAGATACTAAGTCGAAGCAAGTATTAGCACCACATATTCTTCTGCTTATCTCTAAATAGGTTAGATGGTGCTTGACTAAGCAACCTAACAGTTAAAAGTCGCTGCCTCCACTGAGGATTCCATGGCCGAAGGAATTTGAGGACGGAGATGTGCCGGGATTCCTGAAGGAGTTTGAGGCCGTTGCGTAGCCGGTGGGATTAAAGAAGCCTAAGGCGAAGATGGTGGTGCTGGTGACGCTGCTGAGAGGCAGGGCGAAGGCTGTACATGACAGCTTGGACGGTGCCGGCGGGGAGCCGACATGGGAAAGTCACGGAGCGGTTGATCGCGGAGCTCGACTGCCCAGTTAACAACGAAGAAACACTGCAGAAGTTTCGGTCGGAGAAGTTGTAGGTTGGTGGCGACCCACTGGTGCTGGCTGTGGAGCCCACTAGGTTGTTGCGCCGCGCGCTGCCGAATCCGGATGGAGTCAGAGGCACACCTGTTGGGGTCGCAGTTTATCGAGTGTGCATGTCACCGTTCCCCAGCAGCTGAAACTCGTAAACGCTGCACAACCTATGTATATCAGTGAACTGGCGAAAATGACCCGACATCAGCTCCGGTCGGGTGCGGAAGTCAGGAGATAAAGTGTCAAAAAGACTGAGGAGCTGCAGAGTGAGATCGCGGCACTACGAGTGAGTCATAAATGGAGGGGCAGGACACTGGTAGACAAGCTGTCCAAGACGAAGATATTCTAGAAATTATAACGCGTGTTTTTTCTACCTTAGGAATCTGGGGGGGGTTGCACTAGAGACAGACGGGCAGTCTACACGACAGTGAACATAAATGAACGAGACTTTGTGTGTCTTATCGATACAGAGGTAGCAGTATCGTGAATAGGCAAGGAGCAATGTAAGAGACTCAAGCCATGTACACTCGCAGTTCACACCATAGGAGGGCACATGTTAAAGGTATTCGGTGTGCTTAACAGTATCGTAAAAGTGGGTGGTGCCGAGATAAATTTCCTGTTCGTAGTAATCACAAGCTTATCGAAACCGATATTAGGAGCAGATTTTCTAAGAAAAGTAAAAGTAATAGTTGACTTAAGAAGCGGCAAGGTGGTCGCAAAGTACGGTTTATTCCCAATACAAGAAAGTAGCGAAGTGGCTGCAATAAGAGTGGCAACGTACGTTCCAACGAAGAAACCAAACGTTGACGAGCTGTAAACAAAGTATACGAAACTGTTCACTGGAGACGGAGAGCCGTACGGATTTGGTGACAAAGTAAAGCACGAAATCCCGATAAAGAACGATCGAGTAAATATATTTGCAACACGTCGTGTCCCTGTACATTTAGAGGCTGAAGTAAATCCATATGTTGAAAGGTATAGTTAAGGAAGCGGACAGCCCATATAGCTCGCCGGTACTCTTAGTAAAGAGACCGAATAGAAAGTTTAGATTTTGTGTCGATTTTAGAGAACTGAAACCTTGTGCATTGCCAACAGTGGTAGGAACAAAAGATCAGCTACAAAATGCCCATAAAATAGAGCGATTGAAACAAAGCCGCATTTACAGTACGTGATAAACAGAATCAATTTAAAATAATGCTGTGTGGGTTGGCGGGTGCACCGTTTACATTCAGAAGGTTAATGACGCTACTGCTCAGGGGCCTAGAAAACATCGAGGTATATGGGGACTATATAGTTGTTTACAGCCGGACAGAAACAGATCACGTCAAGCATGTGGAAGCAGTCTTAAAACGAATTTGGACTTCGAATTAATAAGGACAAGTCGCAGATAGAAAAAAGTAGCGTCACTTAGTTGGGACATAAAGTGAGAAATGGGGAAATAAAGCCACTGCCGGAGAAAATTCTAACCATAAAGAACATTACAATTCTTAATTCGAAAAGGAAATTGAGACAGTTCCTGAGGAGATCGTTCTAGAGTTGGTTTATAAGGAAATTCAACGATATAGAAGCACCCCTATATAAGTTTACTTGGACTGAGATTGCCCAACAAACGTTCAACCGAATAAAAAATAATGTTAGACGACCGCTATATGACGACCAGATTACCTGAACCTGAGAAACCGTTTACAGTGACCACCGACGCAAGTGATCATGGTATAGGTGTCGTTTTGAGTCAGTCTGATAGAGTGGTGGAATACGCGAGTTGCGTTCTCATACCCACTGAACAGAAGTATTCAACCATCGAAAAGTAGTGTTTAGCAATCGTGTAGGCAGCAGACAAATGGAGACCGTACCTTTTAGGTAAACGACAACTTTAAGAAAAGGAGGGAGGCAATAAGGAACGCAGAAGAAAACAAATATCAGACATAAAGGAGGAACAGCGGGGGAGGATAGGGAAGTCTTTTGCAGTGGGAGACCTAGTAAAATGTAGAGAACGGAAAAGAAACATAGCAGGGGGATCAGGATCAAAAAAGCTGATCCCGAAGTGGAAAGGACCATACATTGTCACGGAGAGACGTGGCTCCGTTTCCATATTTAAATAAGTGTTCAGTCCAATACAAATACGAAATCAACTGTACTAAGTAAGAATGTCAATGCAGGGTTACCACTTGATAGAAAATATAAAATAAAACCGTTCTTGATACAATACATTTCAGTGTGTAACCTTTTCTGAAGTTTATGTCCATAGTACCTGCCATTTTAAAAACTACGGTTCTTATAACTGACATTTTATCATAAAACACTTATTGATCTAAAGTTTACTAGGATATTTTTGTTGGGATTTCGAGTAATTTAAAATTATTACAGACTGGTATCACCTAAAAGAACACTACAAATCAATAAACAGGTATTTTGTCCTGGTCTACGACTCCTATACGGGATAGTATCAAATAACTACAGATCTCGCGCTAAGTATAATACCACTGAATTACTAGTCCAAAATTTTAATCGCTTATTTAATTGCGTAGATTACAAATCAAATACAATCCAGTACTCTGCGAATATCTTGATTAAGCACAATTAAAGCATTACGAATTAAATCTTGTTTATGTAATCCTCTAGAAACAAACTAAGTACCGTAAAACACAATTTTGCACCGTTATCAGTTATCAAAGACAAAGTTGGCAAGTTATTTCACTCAAAAGGAATATTGAATAAGAGACTACAACTAATATTTCTTTATTTCAAATTATTATTCATTTTTTTTTAGAAAAGTCACACTTAAAAATTCTTCATCTGTGCAATAAGCGATTAATGAAAAGTATAAATTATCTGACTAGAACGATTAGAGATTGATAAAAAAAGGACAGTAGGGAGATTCAGTGAAAAAAAAATGACCGTAAACTTTTTCGATCAGTAGATGGTGATGATGAAGAGAACTGTTGTCGGTGCTGTTTCAGCAGATTGACTACTTTATGTAAACAAATCGTATCTGTAAGCATTGATATGAATTCATTAATTAATTTATCTTTATGGGATTTCAAACCTTCATAAACCAGAGCTAAAAATACACGACATTCTAATTTTTTAATATAATATGTATGATTCAATTTCTCGTCATATACATAACGAGGTTGCTTTAAAACTTCACTAACATCAATTTTATCATCACCACTAAGATGAAGAGTACTGTTGATTTGCATAACAATTGTGTAAATATCAACCGGAGACAATGAGCTACCCTGTAAAGAATAAAGAAAAAATTAAATTAGTTGTATCATCGTTGCAAATTTTTGTATTGTTATTGTTGTTATTCGCTAAATAGCCAACTGAGTAATAGATAAAAGTTCGAACATCATAAGTCAACAATATTTCTACCTTTAAACATTCTAACTTTTTTGCTCATGACCTTGAGCATTAAGCACGTTCATAGACTATGTGTGTTTATTCCTGTCAGCATTTTGAATAACCAATATTTAACGGCCAGATTTAAAATATTGGTTTATTCGTTATGTTAATTAGTAGGTAATAACAGAACTTAATAGGATATTCTACCAAGTACGGGAGTGATGCATTTAGGAAACATTGGTTTAATGAAGTATAGTAAATAATTTCCGTTATACGTTCTAAAAGAAGACTTGAAATACTAATTAAATGAGAAGATGGAATTAAAAGAAAACGGGTTCGAATAAATAAACTAATAGCTGAGGCTCAAATGCTTAAATCGCAGAACTAGAAGAATACCTTATTGATGTTTGTTTGTCGGATGTATACAATTTATTATAATTACGAAATCAGGTGTCTTTTAATAAACTACAAGGTGACTGGCGTTCTGAAATATCAACGATTTGACCCTAACTTTAATTCAACTGCGTGAAGTATGTATATGAGGTTGTTCGACCCTTATTAATATTTTAAATTGTTAACTGGAAGCCATTTACAAGATATAATCTAAATGAATCACAAATTCTTTTTCATTAATATGATTCAAATATATGAAAACAATATCTATAACGAGTAATGCTTTTGCGGTAGTACATGGTGTGTACACTTCTAGTCTACACTAAAGGCATAGAATCTACATCGAATTCTTTAGACTCCATATTTTTTGGTTATACTCAATGGTAACAGGATAGAGACAAACACAACACTGACGTTTAGAACTAATTGAAAACTATTAATCAATTGGTAAATTTGACCAACAATACTGGTTTATCTTGTAATTTCTAGTAGGTTTTTATACCGCACACTATAGTCATTTTAAAGTAGCGACAATAACTGCATTTCAAATCGAAATTCAGCACATGACGAGCCTATTAATTGTATTAGATGTTTCCCAGGCCAGAAACAAAATTAATTCAATAACAAATCTACATATGTTATAATCAGAAGAAAAAAGTTATGTAAATGATAAAATTAAACAAATACAACAGATATTTTCCGCGTACCAACGGAGCATTAAAAATTGGTGGAATACTTTCAATTCCTTTTGGTGCATCACCAAAAGAACCTCTCAAAACATAACCATGTCCAAGGAACGGAAATGACTGACAAGTTGTATCGAATAATAATGAGATATTTAGTGCATTAGATTCTCGTTGAAATCTTGTAATACTATAGAGAAAAAGAAAGTATGATTTGATCCATAGAATACAGAACAAGTGTACGATAATTTGTACTAAATAGTGAAAAGTGAATTTATTTAGCTACATTTGTAGCACAACTCTATTACTAAGTGTGAAGAACTTTAATTAAATTACAAGTTATACATCTGTTAAGTGTAAAAAGTTAGTATAGTTTTTAGGCTACCTAAAAACTCCTTATTTAGTGTATTAACACTTAAGATAAATAAACAAGTAACTGCTCAGAGAAAATTCAACATGACAACAAAACCATTTAGTTTTGACAATCCGCAACATTATTTAACACTCCTTCGATTTGACCATATGGATACAAAAGCAGTGAATTCATTAGAATTAAAGTTAAATGTTCAATAATTGAAAATAAGCTTACAGTAGTTTTAATTATCTATCAATGTAAATCAGGACCTGTTAGTCAATAGAATAATACAGTACTTTTTGAAAAGGATAAGAGGAGAGACTTCACTGAAATGTGTTACATGGTCTCGGAAAGAGGAACAGAAAATCAATTAGGTAAAGCATATCTCTCTGTGTCAGTAACATACCAAGCTTGTATTTAAATATATGAACATACCAAGTGAGAAGGATATTAGTTGATAAGGTCATAATTATCCAATGACTAAGATGAGTGACAAATATGCTGTCTATTTTTGTACAATTTCTAGGTTCACGTACCATGTTGACCGAACGATTTCACCAGGTGGTCGAATGGATGAATTGTATTAACACATGCAAGGCTGGAAGGTTTAAAAGTGTATCATCTTCATTCACTTTTCGAACGGTAAAACAATAAACACAAGTATAAAACATCAGTTGTACGAAACAAATTACAACTAACTAAATACACCTTACTTAGCAACCAGATTCAGATTTTCTGAGTTTGCCGTTTCTTCAGTTTCGTGAACATTGGATGCAGAACGAACCAAGATTTCAAACCAGTATAAAGTATATTTACTAAGCAAATGAGCGTAAAAGCATTCAAGCCATGCTACAAGTGGTAACTGTTTACACGGTGAAGTACTACCCTGGACAACAAGAAAAAAACTGGTTTTCGTCAACAGTAAATATTTTTTAAAGTTAAAAGTGATAAGTCATCAATGGACGCAATGATCGATGTTTGTGTAATACAGAGAGTAGATCGACGTTAAACATGTACACCACTGAATGCCAATTCTATAGTCTAGAGATTAGGTGTTCGCTAGAAGACCATGTCTGTCTCCCTGTACGGTTGTGAATGAGCATTGTTGAGAAGTCCCAGATTAAGAGGGAACAGCTGTCCAGTGCTTCTTAGTTCTCAGTAACTATTTAACTGCGATCAGTCAGTGATGAAAACTATGAGAATAATAATAATATAATGAACTACAATCGAGATGAGACTAAGAATGAGAAACATTACGTCAAGCCAAGTAGATAAGCCATTAACTTGGACGAAATGAAAACAACAGTCTAGAGTTACACAACAACTTTTAACATACGATGCAGGTTTACAATTGTGGATATGAATTTTACTAAAAGGATGCGAAAATCTTAGACATAAATATACAAATAATGTTCAGTATACTAAAAAACTGTATGAAGGCAGTAATAAAAGCCAATAAAACGGCGAGCCGGAATGTGTGAAGACAAAGATAATGCAATTACAGGTAATCACATTACAAACCATCACCACAGATTGCAAACTTCTTGCGGAAAAGTGCCAGTAGACTATTTGCTTATGATTTCATCCTGACACTATCTAAGAGATGATGAAAGCATAATGATCAAAGCAAATAACTGTGAAAAAACATAACTCAAATGATCCTACAGAATTGCCATCCAGGCATTTTGAATCTAGATCTTGTTAGGTAAAGGCAAAACTGAAAATATGGCCAGTTAAAATCAATTAGTCGCTGGGTTAACTATGTGGAAATTTGACCTCAAAAACTTCATACCTCAGTGAATTTATTCGAAAAGTAACATTACGTATACTATTTAACCATTCACTTGACAGCATATAATACATACACTAACTACATCCTTATGGAATATGTATGGATCATTGTGTATTAAAAGAATAGACTGGAAGTACGTGCTTCCAGTGGTTCGGTAGTGAACTGCATTATTTATTCGAGACGAAACAATCCGTCCTACTATATCATCACCTATATAGTTCAATGTTTAGTAAAGAAGCACTAAAAACAACAACGAATAAGGAACCTTTTCCTGAAGCCAAAATAAAAATGAGGGAGATTATAGAAGCTTTAGCAATATATAAACTGGATGAACCAAAACTGACACGTTCTTGTACTAACCCAAGATTTCGCAACTCGTTTCAATGCAGTGAACAAGACTAACTTTATCCTCTTCTTCCCTGACCCATTAACTAGAGTTAGGAGTTCAGTTTCATAATGGAAGCATTGTTGATTATGATCGTAGTAGAATTAAAATTACAACTGTTAATCAGTTACAATGAGTAGAATTTATGAACTAAATTATCTCTAAACACAAATCATAGTAAACATGCATTTAAAGTTCATAAAGTAATGAAACAGAAATGTGTTGAAAGTCGACTATACATTCATCTTAAATCAATATTGACTTCTTCCCTCATAAGCTGTATTTGGGGATCGTTCATACCCAACAGAAACATTATAGAATAATCAAGCAGTACTTTTCCAAAAGCGTTATTATGAAATCTTCCAATTATTCTAAGTTTAATACTACTTTAATTAATAATATACATAGAAACACTCAGCTAACTTAATTATAACTAATATTTTTTCATTAAGAACTGAAGTACTGGTAAGCAGAACACAAGCAGTTTAGCTAGCACAAATATACAGATTGTAATACATCGAAGCAGCACACATAGATCTTCCTATAGATGTCAATCCACCAACTACGGAACAAATTAGAATGGCCGTCAGACAAATCAAGAACGGGAAAGCAGCGGGACCCGACAACATACCCGCTGAAGCACTGAAATCAGACATCGAAACAACCACAAGCATGCTTTATCTTCTATTCAAAAAGATTTGGGAGGAGGAACAAGTGCCGATGGACTGGAAAGAAGGACACCTCGTCAAGATTCCAAAGAAAGGAGATCTGAGCAAATGTGAAAACTACAGAGGCATAACACTACTGTCAATACCAGGGAAAGTCTTCAACAGATTGTTGCTGAACCGGATGAAGGATGCAGTAGACGCCCAACTTCGAGATCAACAAGCTGGATTCCGTAAGGATCGGTCGTGCACAGACCAAATTGCAACATTACGGATCATAGTCGAACAATCAGTTGAGTGGAACTCATCACTATACATCAACTTCATTGATTATGAAAAGGCATTCGACAGTGTAGATAGGAGGACGTTATGGAAACTTCTTCGACACTACAGAGTTCCTGAGAAGATTGTCAATATTATCCGGAACTCATACGACGGACTACAGTGCAAAGTAGTGCATGGAGGACAGCTGACAGATGCATCCCAAGTAAGATCCGGAGTCAGACAAGGCTGTTTACTCTCTCCCTTCCTCTTTCTTCTGGTGGTCGACTGGATTATGAAGACCTCAACATCTGAAGTAAAACACGGAATACAATGGACAGCTCAGAATCAATTAGACGATTTGGACTTCGCAGATGACCTAGCCCTCCTATCACGTACACACGAACAGATGCAGATGAAGACAGCCAGTGTAGCAGCAGTTTCTGCATCAGTAGGCCTCAGCATACACAAAGGGAAAACTAAGGTCCTCAAATTCAAAGCGGAGAACAGCAATCCAATCACACTTGATGGCGAAACTCTGGAAGATGTAGAGTCCTTCACATACCTGGGAAGCATCATCGATGAACAAGGAGGATCCGATGCAGACGTAAATGCGAGGGTCGGCAAAGCAAGAGTCGCATTCCTACAATTGAAGAACATATGGAACTCAAAACAACTTTCAACCAATATCAAATTGAGAATCTTCAATACGAACGCCAAGGCAGTTCTACTGTATGGAGCTGAAACTTGGAAAACTACAACAACCATCATCAAGAAAGTACAAGTATTTATAAATAGCTGTCTTCGCAAGATACTCAACATCCATTGGCCGGATACCATCAGCAACAGCCTTCTGTGGGAGAGAACAAACCAACTTCCAGCTGAAGAAGAAATTAGGAAAAGACGATGGAAATGGATAGGACATACATTACGCAAATCGTCAAACTGCATCACGAGGCAAGCCCTTACTTGGAATCCTGAAGGGAAGCGAAAAAGAGGAAGGCCAAAGAACACATTGCGTCGGATAATAGAAGCAGATATGAAAACGATGAATTACAACTAGACGGAGCTAGAAAGGATTGCCCAGGACAGGGTTGGATGGAGAATGCTGGTGAGCGGCCTATGCTCCTTCACGAGGAGTAACAGGCGTAAGTAAGTAAGTAATACATTACCTAGTTAGTAATAATTTGAGACTAACTCCTTGAATTGCCAAGGCAAAGTTCAACATGTCGAAAATAAGGCTGGTTATTGTAAAACTCTCCTAGAAGTCACAAGGGTACTGTTATGCAAATATGGTAAGTTAAACTAATTAATAGATTATTACAACAATCTTGAAAACAGTATGATTAAATAGTGGTCTTATAAATATGCTACACAATAAACCTTCGAGTTATAAACATAGTGAGCTTATCTCATCTGAAATGTCAGGATCGAAAAATTTCGAATCCCAATAATGAATTCTGAAAATATTTACATCAACAAGGTCCTTCTATCTGACACTATCGTCGACCCATAACGGAAAATTAATGTTTTATTTCGATCTTTATTATCATCACAGAATGACATTAACTAAAGAAGTAATGGATTCAGCGGACCGATTGGAAAACTGTCCTGTTGTACGTTTGGGATGCAAATGTTAATGAATAATGAATTTCACTCATGTATCATTGTAAAACTGATATTTTATTGGCAATATTTTATCAAAGTTACATTTAATGTTATTTCTAAAACAAATAAGTGAAACACTAAGCACACTTACTTTAGAGTTCAGAAGTTTACCTAGTTTATCTAGATTATCTTTTGCTCGATTTAAACTAAGCAAAGATTCCAAAAACATGAGATCTGATATTGCAATTTGAGCACTAAGCAATTCATGTAGTATGACTACTTCTAGTCTAAATAAGAGAACGAATTCGTAATCGAATAACAACAATAATAATAAGCTAACTTGATTGATTGAGATATATGGAAAAATGCTTTGGTAAGTTCATTTTCAGTAACTGAAAGTTGGTTTAATATATTTTTGAGAGAACTGATGAGTGACGAACAGCTTGTAATAATTAATAGGGGATTTTCTGCAATTTTTCGATATCTAACAAATATTTCTAAGTAGTAAAATAGCAAAATGTATTTTCATAATCAAAAAAATAAGAATGATGGCACTTATCTGCATAATACAAGTCTTAGAGAATTATACAAATTAATTAATATTAAATAAGCTTGTACTTTAAAACGCAAAATAAGAACTACAGAAATTCACTTATGATTACAACAGCTTAAATATTAACAACTCGAAGAACAATTGTTATTAATCCAAATTAATGATTAAGAAATGATCCATCTACTCGGCTTTGAAACACGTATAAGGATAACCTATATGATCTAAAGCTTAAGCCAGAGTAGAGTTCGGTCTATAACTCAATGATTACAATTCAAAAGGGCGAGACAATAATTTATGGACGAGTCAATCAGAAGCGAATGGGAAAATTCAAGATCGTGTCGCTTATTTTAATACACAATGCTCGTGCATAATCGGTTTATAGCGGATTCTAAGGACGTTATAGTTGAGCGGCTACAACAAATATCATTATTAATAAGCCCTTTTATTTGTGATCGCGGTGTTAAAATGGTGGCTGGACATTGTGCAGAGTACCGCGACGATGTTGTACTTTGACCTAATATAAGTTGGGAGGCAAAGTGCTAGGACGGGGGACTTTTTCACTCGATCCTGATTAAAACTAAGACAGATTATGATAATTGTTGTAAACTGGATAATAGGAGCACCAGTAACACCGGCTAAAACCTTTGAAGATGTTACTGAAACTTCGGCAGATTAATGGTATGAGCACTGTCGAGATATATGTACAATAAAGATGACGAGCTTAAATCAATCGTCTGGAGGAATTAGGAGAATAGTAGGAATCGACAAAACAGTCGTCAGAAAGCGCAAATTCAATATAGGAAGAAGTGTTAGAGAATACTGGGTAATTAGCACTTCCTTAAGTATAATTGGCAGGTCTTTGGTATATACTATAGATCATTACAAGAGAAACGCTATATACACGGACGACTGGAGAGCATATCGACGCATATCTAGACTTCGTTACGTGCACCGTGTCGCTGTTCACAAGAGACGTTTTGTAGACCCCACCATGGGAATATATACCAAAAATATTGGAGCAATGTGGTCTAGGCTAAAAGAATTTTTGCGACCTTGTCATGGCTCCAGAAACCAATGGTTGTGTAGCTACATAGATGAGTTCCTGTACCGTATGCATCACAATTTAAAAACTGCAGAGCCCCTTTCTAACCTGGAAGAACTTTTAAACCACGTTAAAGAAGTGTATTCACCTTAACTTTTTGGTTTTGTATAATATATCCTTACTAAATATCAACTATTTACTAATCGGCTGAAACTTAATTAAGATTTGTTCAAAAGTAATCATTCAATTATAGTCTCGACACCATAAGTAATTTTTATAGCATGTGAATATAGTTGTCTTGTACTAATCTATCAAAAGATACATCCAGTCACACTGCTTTCAGCTGTTTGTAAGATGTACAGCAAAATAATACAAAACGTATCTGATACAAAAACTGCTAAGTTATCAGAAAATATATTTAATGGATTCTGTCATGGGTGGTTTAATTAATCTTTGAAAATATCGATTGTGATACGCACCTAAACACCTAATTCATAATTTGCATCCCTTAAAGCACTTTGTGAATGATTTAAGTCCGCATGGATATATCAACTACCATTTTACACTCTCTTTCGAGCTTTATATGAGCCAGATAAAGAGAGCAGTGTAGTAACGAATCACCTCCATCATGGAACATCAATGAACCATGGAATGTAAATCCACCATTTGATTCCACATATAATATTGAGGGTAACATCGGTGGGTAGTGGTGGTGGTGGTAATGAAGTCTATAAAGACACTATAACATTGCACAGTGGATGGTCTATAGCTAAACTATTAGCCCCCAAATGCGTTGGTACGCTCGAGGGTAGGAAGAGTTCGCTCTCTCTCTCTCGAAACGCTCTCACGTGCCCACGCGTATACAGCCACTATCAGGGAGGTCTTAATCACTGCCTTCTCGCGCCACAGGTGTTGTTTACGAAATTGAGTGGTCGAAAAGAGAATATCCGGCGCTTTCACCGGGTTGGTCGATATGGAGCATCCAACTGGTGGAGTTGGAAAACCTTGATTCCAAACCAGTGGTGCACATAGGCCTCAGGATCCTGAGGGAATAAATGGCGTATGGACCAATTATCGGTCACCGACCACCATGGGACTGCATCTCATGACGCCGCTCCACTGTCTTGTGGATCTGACATTTAGGTCGAAAAATTCGAGTGTGGTCCCCTAAGAAAAGCACCTGCTTCCGTCTGGGCACCCGGTCAGTATCACACCCCATACACAAATCAAGTGACTTGTGTTGAGCATATGTATACGGTGCACCTTGAACCAATATTTATGTGATCAAATAAATTCAGTTCACTTCAGTCAAATAAAAATCTTTATCCCAGTCAATGAATGTATACTAGATAAAAAATAAAGGCACCAAATCCTATGGATCTAACGCGAGGTGAAAATCTATGTATAAGTTCTATCTAGGCGATACCTTGATGCAACAGCAAAGTTTGCTTACCACAACAATTCGATGGACCTAACAGCTTAAAATGACTTGAACAACCTGACTAGTTGCTATGTAAGAAATCACGTTGAACTAAAAAATAACTTAAAGGTACACTTTTTCTTAAACAGCAACTCCGCTTATTTGTATGCAATAGCAGACTATTTGCACTTCCTGATAATTTTTTAAAAAAATAAAAAGGATACAATGATATTAATTGTCCTCTGGATGCAGTTAAGATTTGCATATATACAGAAAAATAAAGCTCATTATTTGACAAAGTAGAATTGTTGAATACACTGTCAAAACCAGCACGTAATGAGTTATATGATTCTAAACAGTCCTGTTGTACTTAACAATGTGACAGAATGTTTACCTCTTTTCGTGAGAATAAAGATCTATTAGGAAATATGTCAAGAGATACATAATCACGTTCAAGTCGACAAAATAAGTATAGTGCTTCACTATAAGTGATTTTCGAATCAGCGAACACTAGTTTCCCAATAAGCGGTACCGAATTCTGTGGAGAAATCAAAATAAGCTTATACTTACTGACAGAACTTTTTGATCATCTAACTTAGCAGATAATATACACCGGAAAAAACTGTCTAGCGATTCTATGATACATTGTGACTGTGATGAGTTTCCCGACATCTGGAAAATACTAGAGAAGAATTAAACTAACTAACAAAAAGGAATAGGAAGCAACCAAACTTGAACATTGAAGATTTTTCTAAACTAGGACAAGAAGTTTGCCTGTTGATAAAATTCAAGAAGACAAACCAGGATTGCCTTCCTGTTTATGTAATTTAAAGTCACTAACTGGCAATGTGATTAACATCAAGATCAAAAAAGCAACAACAAAATTATGATTTAAATGGTTCAACGTCACAGACAAAAAGCAGCAAACCCTTCTTTAGCGCTGATGGGGCAGGAACATTTTGCCTTTCTTTTAAAAAATGCACCAAACTATTTACATTAAAATACTTTACCTACACATTAGACAGAAGTAGCTGTACTTTATCAACGCCATGTAAGCTATTAGTGTGTACACAGAAATAGCAGATCAACCTAATCAGTATTTCATGCTCTGATCGTCTAGAACCACACGAATTCGGGGGATAAAAGTCCTTGATTGCTTTGTAAACATTTGGAGTGTGGCTATAAATCTTCATAATTTATTCAAAACATGAGAATATTTAACGAGAGAGGATGTTTTTCACTATCATATAATAGCTAGACGATAAGCAATGTTTTTTTATTATCTGCATGTACAGTGAACACCAAGAAGAGCAAGAAGTACTACAAAAATACAACACTTGATACTGCAGGAATTTCTATAGACACCGTAAGCAATTACCCTATTATGAAGTGTCCATTTTGAGGAAATGGCACAAACACTCGAAAATGTCGCCAGGTCTTGAGAAAATCTAATTTTGAGGACAGTCCCAGGGATTTCAGGGAAAATTTGGGTTTTCCCCCATGCTTCTCCAGAATCTTTCCAAGCTGCCAGCTTTGGGGTAATCCCCAAAGTGAAATAGCCTCCCTCAAGGTTTTGAGAAATTCTGAGGTTTGCGTCTCATTTCCTTGAAATTTACTATAGCGGCCTCCCCAAAATGAACCAAATTTTCCCCAAAGTTGGCAGCTTGGGTTGTAACACTGCGGAAATCCATCCACATTACTTGATAAAACCCTGTTCTTAGGATTTTAAAAGAACTGCCCACGATCTCTCAAAAAGCATGCAGAGAAGTATCATTATAATAACGGCAAAGCTCTATAACGTTAAAAACAACAAAAACAATAGCTGATCCTCTGAATGTGAGTGTTTCTAAAGAAATCCCTCCCTAGAACAAAAAAACCGACTGCAAACCTTGAGAATTTAACCAGCGAAATAAAACCTCTAGATACATTAAAATTTTGACACTATTTAAAGACCAAATTTAAGTTTTACAAACCGTGACTTAAAAACTTGACGCGGTAGACCTCAGCTCCGAAATGACCTCTTTTTCGTTTTGACGACCTTGAGTGTCAAGCTGTCATCCTTCAGTCTTCAGTCTCCAGTAATAAGGATAGTAGGTTGGTGAACCTGTGTTAATCCTGACAGATTGCCTTCCAGTGAAGGTCCAGTTTCTCCTTGAAAATATTCACTGATAGGGCTGATTCCACTTGTTCGAGTAAGGCGTTCCAATGACTGACTACTCGATGAGAAAAACGGGACCCCACTTTAAGTTTTTTAGATCGTGGTTTATGAACCTTCTTGCTATTGCCTTGAAAATTTATTAGTGCTGGAGGGAGCAAAAACATAAGACACATTAACACCCAAATCATAATTAAAGTTGTAGAGACTCACATTTATCACGAGAACACGACTGGTTTAATAAAAACAATTATTATAACCAACTGTACCAGTGCTTGTTTTAATGTGCTTTTGTTCGACTGTGCTAATGACAGATATGTTGTGCTTCCATTCTTATTCTCACACTTTGATTGTGACTTCGCGCGAATTCGGTTACGTTCTGTAACCAAGCTTGTATCCTGGCACGATCTCGGTATCCTTTCGATACCACGAGATCGCCAGCAATTATATCTCGATTTGGTCCATTGATTGCCTTCTGATATTTGGCTTCTCGGGGATTTTTTGGATTTATTTGGTTACGTTCAGCCTACGCCGTCTGATTCACTTGCCACGTGTTTCTTGGTAGCGGTGTTCATAGTTAATCTCAACTCGACACCACGCTACAATGGTACGAAATGCCATTATACGGTCACCTCGCGTCCTACGATACGACAAGGGGAAAAGGTTTGGGCGTTTTAAACGCCCATCGTAAGGGCGTTTAGATAGACTCTTCACTAATTTCGTTCCCACAATCTGGACACGCTCAAGTGAGTTAGTATCCTTTACCAGTCATGGGCTAGCTGCTCGTAGACAGTACTCCAAATGTGGTCTTACACATATGGGGTGCAAAATTCGAACCGTTTCCTCGCTAAAAGACTTAAACGCTCGGCGAAGTGACCATAACGCACGAAAACCTTTGACAGCGGCTGCCCTGCAATGCGTAGTTGTTCTTAAGTCATGACTTATTATTACTCCTAAGTCTTTATGCTCTTGAACGCATGGAAAAGGTTTACCATCAATAGTATAATGGTAACTATTACCGTGACTGATGTGCATTAGCACACTCTTCCCAGCATTGATTTCTAAGCTCCAGCCTCGAGCCCATCTAACTAAATCGTCTAAGTCAGCTTGAAGATCCAGATGATCAGCCTCACTTTTTATTGTTCTCCCGATTTTTACATCATCCGCAAATAATAATGTCGACGACCTAAGTAACAGCGGTAACTCATTAACGTAGACAAGGAAGAGCAGAGGGTCTTAGATGGTGCCTTGGGGTACACCAGTTTTGACCGGCTTCCAATCGGATAGCGTCTCATTGACTCTCACTCTCTATCTGCGGTCACATAAGAAGTTGTCTATCCACTCCTGTACAGTACCTATTATTCCGAAGGTCGTGAGCTTCTGCATAAGACCTAAGTGTGAAACCTTGTCAAATGCTTTGCTAAAATCTATGAATATCACATCGGCAGACAGACTGTTATCTAAGGCTGCTGTCCAATCCTCTCTCGTAATAAGCAAGTTAGTCAAGCATGAACGCTTATTACGAAATCAATGTTGCTCAGGAGCTAACAGATTGTGTGAAGCTATGTGGCTTAGCAACTTAACCCGAATTATCTTTTCAAGTAACTTAGCGACTATGCTAGTTAGACTGACAGACCGGTAGTTAGATACTGTCTGTCTCTGACCGTCCTTAAATATAGGACTGACTATAACGTCCTTCCAATCTCTAGGGAGTTGAGCGAGTGAAAGGGACGTGTTGAAGAGTGTCGCAAGCGGTTTTGAAATAATGTCCACAAGAGATGACAACAGCCGTGGATGTAACTCGTCAGGGCCCAGTATCTTACAAGGTTTGAGGTTAGTTATCAACGGAAGGACCGTTTCCTCAGTCACCTGTACAGATTCAATGTTTGGTATCTCGGTGTGAATGGGACAAGTACTTGTTACAATAAACGTAGAGTAGACTTCGCTAAAATAGTTTGAAAAAGTCTCAGCTTTTGCCCGATTTGATTCAGCTAGTAAATCTAAATTTTCGTGTAACAGCAACAGGAGAATACCTTCATTACGTTTCACTCGCCGTTTAACATACGAAAACAATCGTTTCGGACAAGTACGGCCATCATATACTAACTGTCGTTCGTAAATGGTACGGGATTTGGCCATGGTTTTCTTACAGATATTACGGAATTTCGGTGTTCACGCTTAAATGATGCGTGACCTGTCAACAAGAAGTCCCAAAAGTGTTTCCTACGCTTTACCAGCTTCCGAGTTTCCTGATTAATCCATGGAGGGAAATGTGATAGCTTATGTGCTGACCATGGGATAAACGGCGACACTACGGACTTGAATGTAGTCCTAAATTTATTCCATTCACCTACGATCAATCCATCCGCTTCGACCGACCAATCAGTCGAGATAGCACAGTCTCTGATTGCCGGAATATTGGCTCACCAGATATTGGGACGGGGTGGAGCAGATATAAATCGTATACCATATGTCCTAAACTTAAAGTGAAGTTCGACGTGATCACTGTTCACTAGTGGGGGAAAGTGCTGGATACCAAAGACAACCTCACAGTGGTGAGTGAGAGCGAGGTCCAGCAGTGACGGACCATGTTGCAAATCAATATGTGTCGGTTTTGTGATATATTGTACAGGTGCAAACTGAATAACGGTTGATAAAATGTCACTACAGAAACCTCCATCTGGAGCTGTAAGCTCTATCCAGTTGATATGCGGTGCGTTGAAATCCCCAATGATGAGACAACATTCTGCCATACTCCAAGAGTAGATGTGTGTTAAGATAAAGTCATCAGCAAGGCAACACGGACTACGGTATATTCCCCCTATAGTCACTAACTCACTTCTAGATATAATCTTACAAGATGCTACCTCATATTTACCACTAACATGAGCCTCCGATATGGTTGATTGTATACGAAAGTGATCCCTAACGTATAACATTATGCCTGCCCCCTTGCGACTTAAAACTCTATCACTTCAAATACAGATATACCCGCGATGACGGGAGAACATTCTATATCTATTGTGAATCAAGTTTCTGTGACAGCAGTTATATTAAGAGTGAATTCGTTCACCATCAAACTTAGCGCGGACGTTTTATTTCTAAGACTACGGGCGTTCGTGTAGCGCATACTTAAGGTGTTTTGGCAATCATTCGTTATATTCATACAGGCTTTGAGAGCATCGGCTTCCAAGACCTGACTACCCCAAAACCCTTAATAGTAAGAGTAGTTTCACCATATAACTTGCGAGTTCTCAACTCCGTAAGCGCATTCTTCCACTTGATTCCATCCTCAAGCGGCCAATCTGGTCGAATACGGATATTTGAGTCACGAAGATTTTGTGCGTTTTTCAATACTATATATCTCTCTTTAAATTTCCCGAGAACCAGCTTCAAGGTCCTTCTTGGTTGGGTCTCGCCTCCAACCCATTTACCAACTCGTATTACTTTCTTGATATGTACCCCTGAAACCTCTTCAAGTAGTACGTTTCTTATCACAGATTCCACCAACTGCAGATCATGTGCATGTCTTCTAGCAGGATAGTTGTCTTTCGACTCCTCTAGATTCCAAATAATTAAACTAGGGAGGGGTTTAGCTTCTTTTGAAACCGTGTTCACAGCTTTCGATCATGACGTTAGATCCTGTATATTAACTACTGGCATTCTACGATTAGTTTTTATTTTAGCAGTCATGGGAGTCAAGCGAGTGACTCACAACAATATTTGACGAGGCTATACGTTGGGAATTTGGCGGACTGGTCTGAGAGTCCACCAAGGACTTATCAAGTGAACGGTCATTAGTTTTAGCCGTCTTACCTACTCTTCTGCATTTCCGCGTCATCCATATTCCATCAGTCATAGCATCCACATTAGAACCACTCAGAAGAGTGGTTGTTTTATCTGGGTAACCGGTTGCTGCTGTAGCAATATGGCCACCGACATCTAATGAAATGTCACTCATTTATTGTTTCAGGTCAGACGGCTTGATTACGGGTTGCACAGTTAGATGTCTGGCTTGCGCCGTGACAGTACTTACATTTGATGTTTCTCAGGATGGTGGCGCGTTTGTAGGCCAGATTAGCTATGCATATTTTAAAAATATTTAATGATGAATGACCATGTGCATCGTCTATTTTTGCCTTTCAGATAAATAAGGCCCCTGCGTTGTGTTGTTTAATGGTAGATCCAAGGCTAACCGTGGATGAGTTCGCGCCTTTAATCCTTTCGAGATGGCACTAACTTTTCTCTTCATTTGTTAAATGGCAATACTGCTTCAGGTACTTTTGAGAGCATTACGTTCGGCTTCAGTGATGCTTTCCGGCAAATAATCTTATATAAAAAGCCTTCGGTGTGAAAAAATAAAAATAACTTCGAAGATTTGCGACGCTTGGGTAAAATATAATGCCGGCAGGTTCATATAACGCGTATATGTTATGTTTATCTACAAAGGAAAGAAATCCACGGTGTGCGCTACATATATTTATTTGTTATTTTCAAGTGCATGTTCGCGATGAGATGAAAACCGTAATCAATCGATATTGTTCGTAAATCATCCGAGTATCAAATTATACGAAACAAAATTGTACAAATAAATCAGTCGTATGCGTGTAGAATTTTGATACAGTTTGGTATCAGTACATTTATCTTTGCTACCGTAATAATAGACCTAATTCCTACCGCGACAATCAGCAGTATGACGTCTAGCACATAGGAAAAAACACCTTTGGGCTGGAAAGAGGCTAATATAGTCGATGTAAATGGCACAAGCTTACATACAGTGACCACGCCTGCATGACCAAGTCATGAAACTTTAATTCAATGTTTTCCCGTTCACGATCTTTATTCCTCTTCAAGTGCTGTTTATTTTTAATCTAAATCATTTCAGTAATTATGTGCTGAGCTTCGAAGATCGTGTGATAATAACCGATACCCCTCCATCAGAATCAAAGTTACGTTGGTTCGATACGAATTTAAGTGGGATTGTTGCGTGTCGTAGCTTACTAAAAAAATATGTAAATCCTCTT